TTTTCGTAATAATCAAATACAAAGCGAACAGTCAATGGTTGGTATAAGTAAATTGTTTTGTATTCATGTTATAAATGTTTGTTTACAAACCATTGTTGATCCAGACAAGTACACAACAACATATTATTCAGCAACCACTGCATCTATTTTGTTTGGCACAATTTGAAAATGCAATCTGCTTTTGTCAATAAAATCCATAGATATGAAAGAAAATGTGCATAAAAGGATCTTGTATCCAGGCTAGCACGATATTGATATTCTGCACATGCTAGCACGTTCTGATCATACAGACTGAAATAAATAAATAAAAATTATTCATTAAATTGTTCTCTGCTCTCAGTTTTAATCTTTAAGGAAAATTCGAAATCGTTAAAAAAAATAACCTTTCATGTTTTTAAAACAAAATTTAATTACGATGAAGTGAGCCACTGGAAAAGCAACTGTCCGGTCTTATGAACCCGCGGGCCACACATGTACTTCTGATTATCATGTATTTGATGTTAATAACATAGGTCCTGAATGGCCGAGTGGCTAGCGCTCTGGCGCTCGCTACCACAGGTTTCGGGTTCGAGTCCCAGCGGTGCCATGGATGTTGGTAGTGGTTCGGAATCCACTTTAAACTGTAGGTCCCTGTCTAATAGGATCGTAGAGCATTGCGGAGGCGTTGTTACTCCGCGTCCGTGGCTTATCTTCAAGTGACACGCGCCCTCTGGGAATGCAAAGAGAGTACGTCTGTGCAGCGCTTGCTTTAAGGCATCCAAGACCAAGCTGTCTAAGTGTTTGCCAGCTGCATTAGAACAAAAAAATGTTAATAATATTTCCAGTACTTATACATTAGTAGAATTCATTTATATGAGTCTGGGGCCCGCGGCTTCATAAAAGATATGATAAATATAAATGTTATTTTTTTTAACGATTTCAGATTTTCATAAAAGATTAAAACAAAGAATAAGGAACATTTTAATTAATATTATTTATTTATTTATTTAAGTCTGAATGGTCAGAACATATGTCACTATATCGCTAATTACGATGAAGTGAGCTGCTAGAAAAGCAACGGTCGGGTCCTTTGAACCCGCGGGCCACAAACTGATATAAATGAATTGTAGTAATGTATGAGTACTGGAAATGCTATTAACACCAAATACTTCAAAGTCAATATACTACTGTGTCCAAAAAGGAAGACCAATTTTCAATTTAAAATTCCCGGGGCTTATGGAATTTAAATTTTTTTCTTTTTTATGTTGCTGGCACTGTCTTTGACATCTGTGTGAAATTTGACATCAAAATATTCATAAGTGTTTGAGTTACGCTCGGCTGTGTGAGACGCTAAAACTGATTCCGGCGATTTTTGAATTTTTCTTGCATTACATTTAGTTTGCGGAAACGTATAGAATGTTGCAGAAGGCATTCGGAGAGCATTCCTATATCGGAAAGAAATGTTTCGAAGTGGTAAAAATTAGTTCAAAGAACGCAGAGAACGCGTTGAAGACGAAGAGCGCTCTGTTCGTCCCTCAACCTCAACCGATGAAGCTCACGTCCAAAAAAGATTTGGTGCTTGCAAAGCGTCGATTTACAATTAGAGACCTTGCTGATGATGTTGGAATTTGAAAAGGATCGGTCCATTCCGTTTTGGGCCTCAAACGCGTCAATTCTCGATTGGTACCGAAAACACCGAATGCTTCAGCTCACACTGTATTGATTTTTCGTGACTTTTTCGCCAAAAATGAAACCGATATCGTTCCACAACTACCACAACAACCTCTTTTCCCAGTGCGACTTCTGGCTATTCCCTAAACTCAAAAGACCATTCGGGGACACCGTTTTGAATGGATTGAAGAGATTCAACGTGAATCGCCGCGCGCTTTGAAGGCCATCCCTGACGATGACTTTTTACACGCATTGAGGATTGGAAAAAAAGTTGGCATAAGTGCATTGTGTCCGGAAGGGATTACTTTAAAGGTGATGAAATAAATTTTGAAGAATTAATAAAGAGTTTTTGAAAAAAAAAATAATTTGTCTTACTTTTTGGTCACATTAGTATGCATTGTATCACATTTTCAATTGCTTACGGCTTCTGGTTGACAGAATAGCCCTGAAATTCTTCATTTTTTATTAATCTTTTTTTACTTTATTCTTCAATATGTCTACCAATATAGTTTTTAATCAACAACTTCTATTTAAAAAATGCCCTGGATGTTTAAAAAATATCGCTTCAAAAAACTCACTTTAGAGTTTTTTTTTTTTTTTTTTTTTTTTCCCTCAGTGCTTCTTCGAAAGTGGAGAAGGCAACAAGTGGTGGCGCTCAGCTCTCCGCCTTTTTGGCGCCCAAATACTCAGAGCAATTGTAATTTACGCTGATAGGGTGTGCTCTGCAAGTGTCTGTCGTGAAATAACGAGAGCTGCGATTCCTGTCCTGTCCTCTGACATTTTCGAGATGCGTTCCATCATTTGTTAATGCAGCCCAGCAACGAAAACAAAGACTGGTTTCATCAGAGATTATATATATATAAACACATATTCAGTCATAAATTCAGTGGCAACTACAGAAAAAATTCTCTGCACTCTGATCATTATATAGTTGCTTATAAAAACAATGTTATGGGACTCGAATTCGAGCACTTTTTTAAGATACACTATCGCATTGAACATTTTCACTGGAAAAGAAAAGAAAAAGAAAACAAAACCCAAAAAGATGAAATTTTTCTTTCTTTTTGTTCACATCGGTGTGTCTTGTATTCTGCTTATGTATAGAACATCCCCATTGAGTGTACCACTGGTGAGTATTAGGCCGTAAGTTCAATCCTCTGGTTGCTTTGTTGTAGACACTGCTTCAAAAATCGAGGAGACTCGATGGCGTTTGGGATGTTCAACATCCTGCCTTGTGAGTCGGACTACCTGGTGGGATTTTTCAGAGTTTTCTCCCATACGGGATAGTTCCCCTTAAAAAGTCTTCCCGGAAGGCACTTCCCTCCTTTTTCAGCGACCGGTAGCCAAGTCAGACTTCTACCTACGGGTGCTCTAACACAACACAAGTTGTTCCCTCCATTTCCCTCTTTCCATGAGACCACTTGGGTACATAGACTTGGTCTAGATGGTGCTGTCAACCAAGTGCCGATAAGAAATAACAACAACATCCCCACTGAAGGAAGTTGCTTTTAAGGGTAACTGAGCCGTATTTGTGTGCAGTGTGAGCGAAACCCTGGAAAACTCCTACCAGACAAATTGATTGTCAACACTACATATAGATGTTTTACACACGTTGCCACAATCGCCACATCGAGGCTCCTCGTTTTTGGAATTGGTTATCCGTAGTTCAAATGCCCCCCCTTCTTCAAGCCAACTACACATATACGAACCAACGGTCGTACCATGCTGAATATACCGGTTCTCGTTACATCAAAGAAGTCAAGCATCATTGGGCGCGGTCAGTACTTGGGTGGGTGATCATTTGGGAACACCGCGTGCCGTTGGCATTCACAAATTTGGGACCTGAATGGCCGAGTGTCTGGCGCTCGGTGCCACAGGTTTCGGGTTCGAATCCCGGCGGTGCCATGGATGTTTGTAGTGGTTCGGAATCCACTTTAAGACGTAGGTCCCGGTCTCCTATGACCGTAAAAGCGTCACGGAGCCAAAGTCAGACTTCTACCTACGGGTGCTCCATCACAACAGAAGCTGCTTCCTTCCCCTTCAACCATGCGTACGTATGGGCTCGTGCGCTTGGCCAGCCAAGTGGGATACGAAACAACAACAACAACAAATATTACACTTACACTGGGCTACATATATATATATATACTTTCCATTTGGAGGCTACTAAAGTAAATAAATTTTTCTTACATAAACAGGTGATTTTTTTTAACACATTGACTGTCTATTACGCTATAATTTGTGGATTGTTATTGTCTCGTTGTAGAAATGGGTTTTCCTAGAAGGCGACAAAACATGATTATGAGTATCATACTGATTGTTAAGAAATATTTAGGACTTTCATGATAGAATTTTTTTGATTACGAGCCAGTGCGTGACAGGCACTAGGGATGAAGTTATTTCATAAATGCCACATTACGCGCTGGCACGTGATGTGTACAAATGAAACAAAATAAAATAAGTGACACAATGCCTTATTTTTGTATGATACTTTAACACTAACAAATATTTAAAAGAAACGAATTATTAAACATTTGTTACGATGATATACAATCCGAAATATCACGGGCATCTCGGGATGGAATGAATTCTTTATCTCTGTCATAACTCATACGAAAGCTCAGCCAACACATTTGCAAATGCATCAATTGTTACTGGCTTATTTAGATCGCAATTTTTTTAAGGGAGGGGAGTGAAGGCCCTGCAAAGCTGTCGTCTCTACAATGCATGTTAGAGGATTTTTTTTAAAAATAATTAATGAAGTTATAAATTCGAAATCATGTGTCTTTATAACTAGCATCTAGCTCTAGTTAATAATAGCCCAGTATTTTTTTTTAATAATTAATAAAGCCATGAAACCATGTGTCTTTACAACTAGAATGTAACTCTAGTAATAATAGCATCTAGCCATTATTTTTAATACAAAACTTTAATTTACCAGTCAAACACTAGCAATACTTCTAGCTCTGAGTTTAAATAAAATCATTCAAAAATAATATTATTAAATTATTAATTATTATATTATTAATTTTAATTATTATATATATTAATATACATGTGTTTGTTGTTGTTGTTTCTTATCTTACTTGACTGGCCAAGCCCACGAGCCCATACGTACTCATGATTGAAGGGGTAGGAAGCAGCTTCTGTTGTGATAGAGCACCTGTAGGTAGAAGTCTGACTTTGGCTCCGTGACGCTCTTACGGTCATAGGAGACCGGGACCTACGGCTTAAAGTGGATTCCGAACCACTACAATCCATGGCACCGCCAGGATTCGAACCCGAAGCCTGTGGCACCGAGGCCAGAGAGCTAGACACTCGGACATTCAGGTCCCAAATTTGTGAATGCCAACGGCACGCGGTGTTCCCAGATGGTCACCCACCCAAGTACTGACCGCGCCCAATGATGCTTGACTTCGGTGATCTAACGAGAACCGGTATATTCAGCATGGTATGGCCGTTGGCTATTATTATATATGTGCGTATATAAAGAAGAATATTATACTCCGTTCCTCTAAATATGAAAAAATTTTATTATATTTTATCTCTTACTTTATTTATGTACAAATATTCAGTTTTAAGAACTCTAAGAGACAAAAAAAATGCGTTTTGTTTGCATTAAAGGCATATTGCTCTGCGTATCTACTTAACTTGTAATTAAACAGTATAAAGAACATTTCAGAGCCAAACATTTTCGTTTAAGTTCATCCTCACAGAACCACTTTAAGACCATCCATGTACTCGTCTTGGTTCTTCTCTACTACAGCCAGATAAACTCATTCCTAAAACAAAGCATTGAATCCTTTATTTATTTTCTTGCTTTTTCTTCTTTCAAAAGCCTGGAGTGTGTTGATGTGTTTTCCGACTTTAGACAGTAAACGACACCATTTAAATGTCAATTTGCGGCACGGCGCCCATGCCTCAAGTGCCATTCCTCCACGCTCCAAGTGGATGGTCTTTTTCTGGCTGTTCCAAATGCAGCAGTGCAGTAAATGGAAAAGGGTTGAAAAAAAATAATGGATATAAATACTCTAAAGAATGGATGGTGGAATAAGTGAATTTGTTTCGCCATTTAACAAAGTTGTGGTTTCTTTTCTTTTTCTTTCTTTTCTTTCTTTTCTTTCTTTTTCTCTTTTAAATAAAAGTAATTTGTCTACCGAGAACCAGGCGTATCGTATGATTGTCAGCCCAAATTTCGAATTGAGAGGCGTAATGTATTAAAGAAGCAAAGAGGTTTTTGCGAGTCGTGTCACGGATGATCATGACAGAAATCTTAGTTGACGTTCTAAAATCGTTCGAAAGTTTGTGATTCATTAATTTAAGAATACAATTGTCAGTTGTAACATTGTTCAACAAAGAATTATAACATACTTTTCAAATAACTACAGAAATCTTGTAATTTTCGTTTCAAAATTGAAAAATCGGAGAAAAATTTTTTCGACTTCTGAGTTCAGACTGAGTAGACTGGCCATTTAAATTTCTTTCATGAGTAAATAATTAAGTAATGAAATAATCAAACAATGCAAAATTGTTCTAAAAGAAAATCGCCTGGTGAAAGCAAAGGCAATTTTATTTCAAAGTGAAAATGAGATTTTTCAAGAAAAGAAAATCAGAATTTGAATTTTACTACTGTGTCCAAAAAGTAAGACCAATTTTCAAATGAATTTGTTTCGCCATTTAACAAAGTTTTGGTTTCTTTTTTTTGTTTTTTCTTTTAAATAAAAGTAATTTGTCTACCGAGAACCAGGCGTATCGTATGATTGTCAGCCCAAATTTCGAATTGAGAGACGTAATGTATTAAAGAAACAAAGAGGTTTTTGCGAATCGTGTCATGGATGATCGTGACAGAATACGATCTTTTGTTGTTGTTGGAGAAATCTCAGTTGACGTTTTAGGAAAGTCATTCAAAAGCTTGTAATTCATTAATTTAATTATACAATTGACAATCGATTTTTTTTTTTAAAATTGTAACATTGTTCCAACAAAAGAATTATAACATACTTTTCAAACAGCTACACAAATCTTGAAATTTTCGTTTCAAAATTGAAAAATCCGAGAAATTTTTTTTCGTCTTCTGAATTTAGTTCATGGCCTGAAAATCCATTATGTAATTAATTTTCATAAAACCAGATATATCAGACTTGTCTTGTGATGATATAGTCCATATCATGGTCACAGTGCCACTGACTGACCGAGGTTGGAATCTTTTGATGAAGTGTTTTGCAGTCATAAAATTATGGGTATTGTTTTCGAGAGCGGAGTTTTTCGTATCCTTGACCACTTTCAACGTTTCTTATTGGCTAATTTTTTTTTAATTTCTTTCATTAACTGCGCATTTTGGATTATTTAAATTTCTTTCATTAACTATTCATTTTGGATTATTTAAATTTCTTTCATTAACTATTCATTTTGGATTATTTAAATTTCTTTCATTAACTGTTCATTTTGGAGGGCTGAATGGCCGAGTGGCTAGCGCTCTGGCGCTTGGTACCACAGGTTTCGGGTTCGAGTCCCGGCGGTGCCATGGATGTTGTAGTGGTTCGGAATCCACTTTAAACCGTAGGTCCCGGTCGAATAGGATCGTAGAGCGTTGCGGGGGCATTGTTACTCCGCGTCCGTGGCTTATCTTCAAGTTACACGCGCCCCCTGGGTCATGCAAAGTGAGTAGCGTTTGTGCAGCGCTTGCCTTAAGGCACCCAAGACCAAGTGTCTAAGTGTTTGCCATCTGCATTAGAAGAAAAAAAAAACTGTTCATTTTGGATTATTTAAATTTCTTTCACTATTTAAATTTCCATCACTTTTTTCAAACATAATATTTATGTAAATTCCTTTCAAGAGATTTTTTTTATATGCATAAGATCCATTTAAATTTATTTCACGAGTCAATAACTATGTAATGAAATAATCAAACAATGTAAAATTGTTCTAAAAGAAAATCGCCTGGTGAAAGCAAAGGCAATTTTTTATTTCAAAGTGAAAATGAGATTTTTCAAGAAAAGAAAATTAGAATTTGAAATCTACTACTGTGTCCAAAAAGTAAGACCCGTTTTCAATTTAATGGAATACTGGAATAAGTGAATTTGTTTCGCCATTTAACAAAGTTGTGGGTTTTTTTCTTTTAAATAAAAGTCATTTGTCTACCGAGAACCAGGCGTATCGTATGATTGTCAGCCCAAATTTCTATTGAGAGGCGTAATGTATTAAAGAAACAAAGAGTTTTTGCGAATCGTGCCACGGATGATCGTGACAGAAAACGATCTTTTGTTGTTGGAGAAATCTCAGTTGACGTTTTAGAAAAGTCATTCGAAAGTTTGTGATTCATTAATTTAATTATACAATAGACAATCGATTTTTTTTTAAGTTGTAACATTGTTCCACCAATACAATAGCAACAAGTAGTAATTGATATTGTTTTGTCATCATAGATATCGAAACAGATTCCGCTCTCATTAATAATGACCTATAAATAAATGTTTTTGTTTTTTTTATATATAATATGGTTCACTAACTAAATTTGTTATTTAGTAATTATTTGACGCTTTTTTTTTTAAAAGAACTCTCAGTTGACATTTTAAAAGTTAGTCAATGAGCTGTGATTCACCATTTTAATTATACATTTGGTAATATTTTAAAGTCTGAGACTTGGACTAAATCTCAGTTGGTCATCGTTGAGCGAAAGGCTCACAAAAATATGTTTGACGCTGTAAATGAGAAGGGATTGGGCAGGCAACGACATAATTTTGAATTATATAAGTTGTTTAAGATGACATATGTATATGTAGGATTTGTTTGTGTGGTAATCAGCAGGCGGCGACACATCACCGTTGCTTGTCTTTGACAGAGCCTGTTTACAACGTGGGGGAGTATTCAACTTTGAACTCTGACCCCACGAGGGGGCAGGTCCCCGTGGATGAATAAAGAAAAAAAAGAACGGATGGCGGTCAACGAGAGAGGAGCGAGAGGGCAGGCTGCGTCAAGCTGCGAGAGAAGATGTTTAGCACTTAATTAATAACTAATGTAAATATCATTGTAAAATATTGTATCATTAAATGACTTTATTTAAAGTAACATGCCTTTACTGCGTTTTGTATGTCAAATCCCCTAGACACCCACTGCAAAAGTCCAGCTATTGTTAGACTGGTAGAGAAGTCTACAGAAACTGTAGGTTCGACCGGGATGAATCTATTGGAACCGGTTGAAAACTCTACATGTATCATTAAATTCATCAACAAGACGTATGAGGTTTGCTGGCTACATCTTCCCAATAGACACCTCATCCTTGTCGTTGGAACTAGAACTAGGGGTAGGCCCAAGTTGAGATGGACCGATTGTATGAAGGCAGATTTTAAAGTAAGTTTTAAGAGTTACTAACAGGAAAACTGTGCAAAGCAGAGATTGGAATGGAAGAAGGTTCTCGGGAAGGTCTTAGCCCACCATGGGCTGTCGAGTCAATAGAAGAAGAATATTTTTAAATGAATATTTTGCTGAACATACATTGTTTCAGAAATACAATAAAAGCTTGGTGTAACTGATACGGCTTTGTTATCATATAGTAAGTCTCGAAATGTATTGCTTTTAAATCAAAATATTTTGAATTTTATATTACTTAAAATAGACAATAGTATTCTTTTTCATTCTCATATCTGCCTTTTTCAACAGGATTGTAAATGCGTACCAACGATAATATGTTTTATTTTGATGGAAAATATTTATTACATTTGATTGAAAATTAACTTTAAACTAAAATTGTTTCTCAAAAAATGTGATATTTCTATACAAATTTCTTTCTTTAAATTTTTGAAAAGTCCAGATATTTAATACTACAGGGTAGGTCTTGACGGACTGGAATAGCCAGAACGGTTCACTTGCTGAAATAGCCAGAACGGTTTTTGTAGCAAACAGTTTGACATCCCTTTGTTTTAAATCTAGAACTCCTACGAAAGGAATTTGAGAGGAGCTGGCGTATATTTTGTTTATTGATGGTCCAGGTTTAGTTGATGGAATTAATTTGTTTGATTTCAGAAAAAAGATAGAAAACTCTGTCACTCAAACAACTTCGGAAGATGGAATTATTGAAATGAACTTGAGGCACTCTCCCAGATTGAGAATCTCTGCATTAATACTGTGAGTACTTATGTAAAACACAACAAACTATGTAATTAACAAAATACATATATGATACATACATACATATAATTAACAATATACATATTTATAAAAAACAATTTTTTTTTTTTTTTTTTGAAATTTTTGTCAAAAAATTTGCATTTACAAAAACCAAAAAACAAAGATTTAAAGATACAAGAAAAAATGTGTGCGATGTATTCCACTTTATATAATACATTCTTGCAAATAAAAACTAACAGCTGTTGCGTAATATTTATTTAAACAAAAAGGTCATTGAATACAAACCATCCATTATATTATAATGGAAGTATCTTTCATAACAGCTGAGCAACTCC